GTTGTTTTGATAGTTGTTACTTCTTCATTGCTTGTGACCTAATATAGGAGGGCATTTTGCCAGGAACTCTCGTTTTCAGCATCTCAGTGAAGATGTTGGTTAGTATTAGCCTTCTACTTTGCTAAAGATTTAGACTGTTAGCTTGTAATATTATTGTTCTGATAAGCAAATTGATATCACTCCGTTAAGCATTCGCACTCGCAGCCTGTTTTGAGGAATCGCTGGACTTCCTCTTCATTCCCGAAAGCTGTCGACAACGTCAACAAATAAAGAGATAAGTGAATAGTAGGCGGTATCATCTGTCGCCGAGAAAAATGGTGATGTGACAAATCTATATCATAAATACCTATGCGAGTCAGCTGCCAGAGGAACCATGTTGACAGTTGAGTCTCGCGGTTAACCGTTGTGCTGACCGCCGGGCCGCACACGCGCTTCCGAAGTCAGCCTATTGATGTTTTCGTTGCACGCAATGCTGCATCTAGGACTTCCGTAACTAGATGAGCGATAGAATATTTATTGGATTATGAGAAGCTGATATGTGCTAAGTAGAACAGTATCAGTACATGAAACGAAAGGCGAAGATTGCGTTTCTTTTACGAAGTTTGCTTCTACTTGGATGGCTATGTAATTCTTGTCACTCTAATTAGGTATATTTCACCAATTTTGTACTTATTATTTGTGCCTAGTCATGGGCATAGGGAAACGGCAAAAGAAAAACAGGAAAATTGATTTGGCTTTTTTTTCCATCTATATATTCCTCTTTCGGGATTATTTAAGCTGTCTGTTCCGTGGTTTTCTTCATCGCACATATCTCATTCTTATCAAACTCTTCTCATCCACACATCATATACACATAAGAGTAATATGCTCCTCTACCCAAATCGGCCTATAAGGTGACGCGAGATTCGGACAGTGAAAGGCGGATCTCCTGACAAAAGACGCGATTTCCTTCCGTTATTTGTGCGAGGGACAAGCATCCTGGAGAAGCGGGAGGCCGGCCGTTTTCTCTCTCATGGGCCGCGCTCACGACACTTTCTCATGGACCAATTTCCATGAATTCCGGCCGTCGTCTTGTTATCTCCCTGTACTTTGAAAGTGAAATAGAAGAAGATTCATAAGGCTACTGCTGGCAACTTGAAGGTTAAATTAAATATTACTTTATTCTTATATCTTGTGATCCAGAAAGTATACGCTATTTTTTGTGTGTAGGACAAATCTTGGGATCTAAAAAAATGAAAAATATCATTGTTCACCTAGAAGTAACACATATTATTCACGACTAGCGGTAATGATTGTGAGTGTATCAGTAAGAGCACTAAATGTATCGATTATTCCTTGTCGTATTATATTAATATCATTTTTTTTAATGTATGAAGTACCTATGATTTTACATAGTTTATTTAGACACCTTAATTCTTATCATTTAGTTTTATTGAATGTTAAACTTCTTTGTTTTGTATACCGCCACTCTTTCTAGAATCGATTGTTTCAGTTGTTAGTGGACATAATAAACTTGTGTTATTTGCGGTTCATGACCATTTCGCCTAAATATTGTAAGTCAGTAAGGTGATTCGGTGACGTAGATAGCGAGCAGCAGTATGTCCAGTGGTTACCAATATTGTGAATATTCTTGAAATTGCAATAATTCAGGCATATTGTGTAAGAGGAAATTATGCAACTAAATAATGATAGTTATAATGGTAGTAATAATGATTATAGAGAAATGATGATAAAGAACGTAAGCATCTGAACTCCAAAATGCGTAGAGTTTCGCGTTAATCTTGCATAATTCCGAACATGATAACCTAGTGGCACATATACAGAGGATCGCCAACATGTGTTAATGTGTTTCTTGCCTCCGCCATGTTGCCTGCCACGACTTGTCAAACATATCACACCTTTAATAGGCACCATATTGTACTGTACTTGGCTCCTTCGTCGTTACCCGTTTCATGAAACCAACTGTTTCCTTGTTTGATGAACGGTAATGGTTGGTATAGAGTGATGAACATGAGTTCACGGTGTTCGTTTTATAAAGACAAGGGATAATAACTTGAATTTAATAAATGACACATCGGTGACAGATAGATTCGCACAAACAGCAAACAAACGTTTGTATATATGTTTGTCTGTCTATTGCTCTGTCTGTCTAGTTGATTGTGGATGATCTATCTATGTCTACCTGATTATCTGCTAGTCTTTATCTATTTAAGTTTAATATTTGTATCTATCATATTTACACTATACTATGAACATACGAATGCATGTATACTAATACACAATATTTGAAAATTGGCCCTAGGGAAAAGCTAGCTAACCTACAGCGATTTCTTCAGTGGCTTCCAGAGATGAGTAATTTCTTGCAAAATGACTCTCATTCGCCAAAAATTAGACACAGTTAACACACCTCATCCATGCATAAATATCTGCATAAAACCCTCTTAAACGAAATATATGATACTAGCTCTGTCTCTGTGACTGCAGATTTTTCTTGTGCGCT